ATAGGTCCCATGGTTAGAAACATATGATTGCATATATAATGCATGGCCCCATTTCGGCTAAGACTAAAAAGTTTTGCTGCAAACTCCATCATGGGCTAAAAATTTTCTGTTAGTCTTCCATCTTTGAGGACTTAGCTCATGCTGTGTTGTTTCAAACTTCCATACGTACTGTTTGACATTAGACGGCAGTCAATTGGTCTTGTTTGGATTTATCTTCTTTTTTTTTTTTCAAAAAATGTTTACGTTTTTCATAAGCATATTTCTCAATCACCTTATTATCTCATACGTATAAAATCGTTACAATACAATTTTTTTATATATATAAAAATTTCAGAAAATAGCAATCCAAATGAAGTCATTTTTTCTTTTTCTTTTTTTATCTTTTTTAAATGAAAGGCATGATGGATTGTAGGTCTTCATGATGATCGTGCATGCACTATTGTAATTTGTACAGACCTTTATTAGTGGCACTCGATTAAGGATTAAAATTAATGCTTCCTCCATTTTCTCCTGTCGCTTAAAAGTCTGCTGCCTGCATGCATGGCCCTAGAAGGTGAGAACCTACCCTACTTAACTAATTTCAGGGGAAAATTTGCCAATAATATAGCTAGATATAATACCGTTATTGACAGCCAATTACAACCCCACAAGTCCACAACCAAGTTAGTCCTTTCCAAGAGGGGATAAAAAGTATTAGAAAATGGATAGGCTTAGCACAATATGAGAATGTGAGGGATGAAACCAAAGTCAAGTTGAAGTATGTTTGAATCACTTTGCCTCTAGTTCCCCTAACCAAGCTTTTGGTATTACTAATCAGAGAATGGCAGGAAAATCTTGATAACATTTTGGGTACAAATCATTAACCATGCTCCTTTTGTGCCTTTCAATAGATTATATATTATAGGTTCATCTCCTTCCCCTTTTTGCGGTATAGGACCAATTGTAGCAATGTTTCACTCTTTGATAATATATATATATCTATCATTAACCATGTAATCTGCCTAATTTGGGGTATAGCAAAGATTTGCAAGAATCCAAGATATCAAGTGGAGTTGATTTCTCCTTGTTGCTCCTGTCTGATACTCTTTTTTTTTTTTTTAAGGACTCCTGTGTGATACTTAATTCAGTGGGCATTCTCGAGTCTAGAGCTTCAATCTAGCATCATTATGGGCTGTTTTACAATTTAACGACTCGGCCAACCTGACAGCTGATATGGGCCTCCAACAACACTTCCTAGAGACTGGAAAACAAAGCCCATACTTTTTCATTGGGTTTCAGGGATTGCATCGAAACACTAAACTTAAGTTTATAGCCCGTGAATATGTTAAAAAAATTAAGGTTTAATACCAATAAACCCCCTTAAAAATGCTTCTTCCCAACATTACCCCTTGAATGTTTAATTAAATCAACTCACCTCCTGCGCTATCATAATTTTTCCCAATCAGGTACAATTGGGTTGGACAGTCCAATTTCGGGTTGAGTTTAGCGTGTGCGATGCCTATAGTTTTGTGAATTAACCAAATTACTCTCAAGTTCTTAATTACCATTTTTTTTACTTGATAAAAAAATTTCAAAACAATATAATTATTCCTCATATCGTTAAAAAATCTAATTTTGTGTAACTTTTAGTTAACCATTATTGAATTTAATTTAAATTTACTACATATTAGCTTATGGCTACTATTTTTGATATCTTTGTATAAATGCAAAATGTTTTGAAAAAATGTAATTGTTAGTGCATTATACTTTATATTTCATAAGTTCAAAAAAATTTTCAATAAGTGTAATATTCATAGTATGCTTAGATTTATTTTATTAGTTTAAAACTTTGTTCAAACGTTTTTTGTGAAATTTTATATAACATGGGGAGCGTATGTTGGTTACTTCACAAACAACGTGAGTTGCACCAACCAAATTTAGGTTCAAATTGGGCTTTCCAATCGAATTATACCGATTGAGAAATTTTTAAGGAAAAATCGTTCAAAACGTCCCTCATATTTTGTAAAATGACTTTTTTCGTCCCTCACTTTTAAAAGTGTAATTTTACGTTCTTTATAAATTCACATGGGTCAAATTTGATCCTTATCTAGATTTTCGACTAGTTTTTGGTTAGAATTCATCATGTGCCTTACATGTGATCATTTTTTAAGAGCAAAATTATCAAATCAAAATTTACATAATCCATCTATAGTCTCTTATATTTCACAAAATGAATTGTTTCGTCCCTCACATTTCACAAAATAAATTTTTTTATCCTCCATTGACCATATGTACGAATAATTTTTTTTTAAAAATCCATGTATATATCTATTTGATTTCAACTGAACAATACGAATAGCATGTAATATATCTCTATTTGATTTTACCTAAACAAACTAATTGTAGTTGTACATATGCTATTCAATAGATATATACATGGATTTAAATCTAAAGATTTTGTTTTAAACCCATATATATATATTTGATTTCACCATGTGAATATATTCAATATTTGTAACATTTTCTATTTTGGTAATAATTTATTTATTGAGTTGTGTAATAAGGCCATCTAATTAATTGATTCTAAATCAAATTCTATAGTCCTGCCAACAAATTGTAGTTTAAATTTGAAATTTTTACTCGCCACCTTTAAGACCAACAGTTGAATTTTTTGCCTTCTGATTATCTTAAAATTTAAATATATCAACCACTTACCTCTTTTTGTCATACTTTTCCTTTGTTTATTTTTTCTGTTCAAATTTAATTCGATATAAACACTTGATAATATTTAGGATTAAATGATTTCTTTTTTTTCAATTTTTGAGTAAAAGGTAATTAAAATGACTGAAAACCTAATAATTTTTTTTAACCCCTGTATATATCTATTTTAATTTTACCTGAATAGTACATTCAGACGAAATCAAATAGAGATATATTACATGTTAGTCGAATTGTTCAGGTGAAATTAAATAGATATATACATAAATTTAAAAAAAATATTCGTACACATGATCAATTAAGGATGAAAATTTTTATTTTATAAAATATGAGGGATGAAAAAATTCATTTTATGAAATGTGAGGGACAAAAAAATTTATTTTTTGAAATGTGAGGGACTATAGATTGGATTATATAAATTTTGATTTGATAATTTTGCTCTTAAAAATGATCACATGCAAGGCACGTGGTGGATTCCAACAAAAAATTAGTCGAAAACTTAGATAGGGACCAAATTTGACCAATGTGAATTTGTAAGAGATGTAAAAGTACATTTTTAAAAGTGAGAGACGAAAAAAATTATTTTGCAAAATGTGAGAAACATTTTGAAGGATTTTCCCAATTTTTAATAACATGAGAGCGAATTGATTCAATTAGACATTCAAGGAAATAATGTGAGAAAGAGGCATTTCTTGAGGTTGTTTATTAGAATTAATCCAAAAATTAAAAAGTTCTCCCAAAGAAGTATTGTTGCAGGCATATTTGGTTACCGGATCTTAAAACTGGAAGAAAATAACTTTGTTAGAGTAGCCTAGACCGTAATTTTTATTTTTTGGTCGGAAACCTAAAATCAACCGAATTGGTTCTTTCATGATCATGCGACCATGTCCAGATTCTCTTATGAAAGTGGTCAGACAATCTTCTGGCTGGGGTGATCTTGGTCGTGATAAATTTAATAAAAATGTTAGAAATTACTAACTCATGACTTCCAGTATAACCTGCATAAGTAGCTCAATGCGCTCGAAACATGCACCGTATTATATACTTTCAGCCAGTAGCATGCGATAAATCATAAAGGACTCTTATTACATTTTCTAAACAATTCTCCTGAAATTCCTTTTCTTTTTTTTTTCTTCAATTTGATATGCCTGGTTAATCTATTTTCTGATTTAGTACGGTTTATGATAAGTAGTTGTGTTGTCCAGGCGCATACTCACCACATCTTTGAGAATGGATTAGACTTATGAAGCACATGATCAGTCTATGTATTTCAAGTACTTTTTTGGCCTTTCTGCTGACAATCAATTTCGTGACTTTATATTTAATGACTAATGTAGATGTGGTTAATGCATGATCAGTCTTCTATTATTGTTGGATACAAGATATCTGCTTTGATTTTGCTTTTCCGCTTTTTTTTTTTTTTTTTAAAGCTTTTGGGAGAATAATAAACAAAGATGAAAGATGAAGAATAATGAAAAGGACTGTCTAAATAACAAAGATCCAAGGCTCCAATGCTAGCCTTCCACGGCCATAAGCTAAGAAAAGTCCTGCATCTTGTCGGTCCATCGATGGCATGATGCTCTTATCTACGTCTAAATACATTCAGCAATTACATTCTAAAGCTACACATACGACTCTCTAATGAATTAAGAAATCTTGACCAAGAAAAAAATAATATGCACTTCTCAAGGTAGGTGGTATATGTACGTGCTCAGAACTGAATAAATACAAAAAATGTTTTATAGGAACATGATTACATCCTCAATGTGAACCCGAATTAAGTAGTGAATAATTTGAGTTGAAAACAAAGATACACAAGAATGATTGAATGTTGAATGTTAAGATAAGCTATGATACAACCTTGAAAAAATATTAAAAAAAATAGATAGTCAGAAAGCCCTAAATGGACACAGTAACAAGAGAAGCCCTACTAGTACAAGTGGTCGAATAGGCATTGGATACTTGAAACATACTCTCAAGAGAGGAATGTTTTCTTAGAAAACACGAGGGAGCACAGAAAAGAAAAAGAACCCCACAAGTCCAAACCGAGGGGCATCCAAAACTTAAACAACAGTAAAAATCAAAGCTTGAGGTAGAAGGGATGTCAATATGGAAGAAGATGAAGAGATGTAAATATAAGGGCTCGTTTTTTTTTTTTTTTTCTTTTTCTTGGAAGTGTAAGAAGGGTGGATGATTTGTTGAGCGTAGCTTCTTCTGCTAGAAGAGAAAAAGGTGCGAGAGGGACATTGCACCAAGAAAAAAATGTGATGTGCATAATTGGTCTAGAAGGGAATGTTAATGTTCTAAAAAAATAGTGACCTAAACTTCACCCTTGTCTAAGCAAACTAGCCATTTCTCTCTCTTACCGAGTCTCTTATTTCCCTTCTCCTCCACCTACCATGAGCCACACCACCCTCTTCTCCAAATGGGGTGGCTTCAATCACTCTTCTCTCCATTGAAGAAACTGTGGTTTCGTATCCACTCAGCTCACAGAAAGAGTATTCACTCCTAGCTATAATCTCTCCATTGCTCATTTTCTTAGCAACTCTTCATCTCACATTCTCATTTCTACTGCATTATCTCTTAAGAAATGTTAGACTGCAAATGTGTTTCATGCATTCCTTCCTTGCCTTCAAACCATGCTTTAACATAAACAGCAACTCTCTTCTTTTCAAAATTATAACATGATATTAATAATGGGATAAAGGAGCGGATTTCTTTCAATTTTGCGTGTGATTAGCTGGTCTTATCATCGAATTTAAACTTGAGTTTCTAACTGCAGTTTATCTTCTTTTTTTTTTTTTTTGAATTGGTATCACAGGTAGGGGGATATACATCTTGTATGAAGATGTAAAGTCGTGCCAATATGAAGACGTGCATGTACTGTGGTCCATACTAGTGGAGTCTCATCCGCCTGCTTTGCCTCCACCAAAATGCAGCGGCGACACATAGCACAAATTTGGAGACTTTAATCTCATGTAAATATTTTAATTAATTAAAGGTTTTCTGTCTTCTTTTTTTGGGTATCTTTTTTCTTTTCCCATTTTGATTTCCGGCATCAACAGAGAGAGTTCCTCAGAGAATGTCCCTCTTAAATTATGAATGTAGTATTTATCTTTGAGTTATTCTGAAATCTTCTTCCAAGAATCTGAGAATTGACAGTATAATGATGATTGCATCTGAAAAAAGAAAAAGAAAAATGAGGAGGCTTCTCCCTAATATTTTGCATGACGAGAACACTGGTCTGTAAGGTGCAATATCTCCATATTTGTTTTTCTTTGTTTTGGCTCTTTTTTTTTTCAGCTTTTTGTTCCCACGTCTATTCTTGGCAGTTGAACTAGCAATTTGCTGTACTTTACGAAGTCTTGCAATAATTTAGAGCTACTGATTGGACCGACGACCGACAAGAAATTTTCAATTTTTCACAAAATAATCCATACATATTAATTATGTCACTGCTTTAGCTTTTCAAACGTTGCTTAGGAACATGTTGAAAACCATTTAAAGAAAAGAAAGGTAAATTATAGATATTGTAGAAAATGAACGATCACCTTCTTCCTGCTTAACTTTTTCTTTTCAGGAGCAAAGGAGAACAATTGAAAACTTTTGGCTATTAAAGCAAACTAGTTAAAGGTCGATTTATTATAAATAAAAAAAAATATAAAAATCCAGTTTTGGTCACGGCTTTTTTTTTTTTTTAAAAAAAAAAGGAAAGCAAGGGCAGCAAGGATATTCATTATTAAGCAACTACTGATGAGTATCTAGAGGGAAATTAACGACTAAAGTGAAGGCCATAAACATGAAAATTAATTGATATTACAGGAGCTGTAGCAATTAGAACAGTCAACGAAGCATCAAAGTATCGCCGACATATAGCTGAATTTAATCTTGGCAAAATTTTGGAACCAAATATTAAAAGGAATGGCATGTATTTTTGAACCCCAGTTCTCAAAAATACTCTTGATTTTATGAAATATAGACATAAATTACAAGATTCCAATTATCTGACTAGCATTTTGTTACTAGTAGATTTTTAAATAAAGGATGACTACACCATCCATCAAATATATATATATATATATAATACATACATATAATGTATGAACTTTTATCTTGAAAGCATGACTAAAAGTCCGGTTGAAAAATACACGTTAAGTCGTGCATTCATAATATGGACACATGTAGATGTGACGAAAGTAAAAATATGAGTACATGTGGAGAAAACTTAAATACATTCTAAATGGGAAAAACAAATTTCGAGCTTTGTCACAAAGTAAATTACTATTCATAACGTATAATTAAGGAAAATTTTATAAGGTATATTTAAGGATTGTTTGAAAAGCATGAATCATACATAAATTATGTTGAATTATGCACATGAATGTATGTTACGCGGGTCTAATATGAGCTTAAGACTACTATGAATCTACAAGTAGTTGCAATAATACTCGGATTGGAGTCTGTAGATTTTAAAATCGTATGCTTGCTGATCAAATGGGGATTCCATAGAAACAGTTAATTGATCTATCATGATACAAACAGCTCACTCTTGGTGCTCATTGTCGCTGAGTTTTTGTCCACGGGCTAGGTGGTTCTGTAGGCAATAACTGGCGAAATGTTTGTAACTTCTACTGTTTATTTCTCATACAGACCAACCTTCTTGGAATTCTGCCCAGCTTTGGTAAATTGAATTGGTTCAATTTGGAGCCACAAATCCACTAGCTTCATCATGTCCTGGAGTATGTGACAGAAAAAATGGATTCTGGGGGAAAAGGAGGAACTCGCAACATCAACTATAAATCTATAATGCAGAGGAATAGCGCTCAGATACAATGGGCAGCCACTCTTTGAAGTATGAATAGCCATCGATCTCTGGAGGAGACAAGGCACCAAGAGGAGTGACGGTTATCTGGAAGCAAAGGGAGCAGACGCGTATCAACAAAATTTCCTATTTGTGTCATATGAACCAAATAAAACTTAAAATTCACGAAAAGCGAAAAGAAGAACTAAGAACACCAATTACGTACATATCCTCCTTGAAGGGTGCAGTAGTCAGTATCCTCATCATTCTCAATTTGACCTCCTCTGACCTAAAAATTGGAACAGTGAAGTATGGTGTTAAAAGCTCACTACAACAAACAGATAAAGCTGCAACAAATGAGAACAAATTTCAAGCTGACAACTTTTGACAACTAGGTTTTAAATCTTTAAGGTTTCAACAGACTGACTTCATTCTTCACCCCGAACAGAAGAGAGTTTGGATGTATGCTTGGGTGCATACACACAAAATTATTGCAGCTGTGTCTTTCTTTCAGTTCAACAATTGATTCCTAGAAAATTTCATTAACACTGTTTGTAACGGCATTTTTTCACTAGCTCTTCATATATATAATTTGAATTCCATCAATCCAATGCAGAGTTAAAACTGTACTCCATCCTAGAAATTAAGTCCAGTTCAAGAAGATACTATACTCCAACCAAATTCCTTTTCATACTAGAAGCAAAGGAGAAGTCCCTAGTAGAAATCATATCACACAGTTGAGCTCAATATACCCTTGTTTGCAAAATTATTAAAACACCTATATTTTTTTTTTCTCCTGGAGATAAAGAGAAGTTTAAACTTTACCACTCCCAATTTGTAATCTGTGTAAGAAAACTAAATAAATAGGTTATCAATATTTGGTCTGCACCCAACATGATTAGCTGTTGTCACTTTTATGTATTTACTCAAGCACATGACTGCTACAAGATGAAGCAATTTCACTTGCGTCTCCGGCACCAACTCTTTAACGTTTTCCACATTTTGCCTCCAGTAGCATCCAATTTATTTGATGACTATCAACAAAACAAGTCAAAGAGGGGAAAAAAAGGACCAACAAAAGAACCAGAAAAAGGAAAGAAAGGTTTGAAACCTAATCCTAAAGAAAGGTCACCTTAGCTATTACCAAACTGATCTAAAGGTCTTAGAAAGTAACCAACAAGCATGTAAACAGATCTATCCACTTGGAGAAAACTACAACCAACACCATAAAAAAAAAAAAAAAAAAAAGCAAGCTTTGCGAGTTAGAAGAGCAGCAAGAAGAGAAAAAGATCATACTTCTCTCCTGAAAAGAAGCTGCTCTTGTTGTCTGCTGGAAAAATCTGCCCCTCCTGCTTCTGCACCTGAAACATCCATTGTCATTGTAGATAACATTTTCCCCCCTTCAGCATCAGATGTTACTTGCCTCCAGCCCATTTTGACAATGCTCTTGCCCTGCCTAGTCAGACGATATCCCTATTAAAGGAACCAAACAACCAATAAGTCATCCTGTACAGAACATGACACAGCTCTTACGTCATTTGTGCAAAATATAAGCTCAAGAGGAGAAATTGGCAAGGGAAGGATGGGCAGTTACTGATACTAGAATGCAAAGTTCATGCCCTCACATATATCATTTCATTCTCTACTTTAATAGATAAATGAAGAATCACTGTTGATTATATTTGTTAACTTATTTGCAAAATAAATTATCAATCAATTGTCAATAATTGCATAAATAGAACCGAAAACAGTAAACTTTTATAGGTAAATGAGTGGAGAAGTATGTTCAGCATAAAATACATACATAACACATTTTCTCATTGATAAGTCTAAACCAGAGCAGATAAGCTGCAAGGCCATGTGGCATGATAGGCATAAACAGTGAAATTCCTTGATGAGGTAAGTAGCAGATATGAAATCTATTGACTGCAGCAGAAATGTTCATGATATTTTATTTATTTATTTTGTATATCTAAACCATTTACAGCAATGCAGATCGAAAAAAAAAAAACACTCTTTGGTCAATATCAACCAAGTTTTGGAGCTGGTATCATGCGTACCTTGTTATTAACAACATCTGTTGGCACATCTATGTTCAGAAAACAATTCTGAGGGTAATTATGATTCTTGATCTCAACTGCTACAGCACTAATAATTGGCAAGCAAGCCTCAGCAGCCAAAGTGAAGTCATTAACATTGCTCTTTCCACCAACCCTGCACTCAAATAAGTGATGATGTGTTGAATCAATTTACTATCCTTCTAAAGAAAACAAAATGACTAAAGTAAATAGAAGTAAAAACTTTCAAATACATCAAGAAGCGGCTGACATATGTTCTGTCTAGATTTGGCAAGCTCTAAGCAATCTAACCTAGAGACTATCGCATAGATTGAAGAATATAAGGGCAATTACAAACCACCATATATTTTCTGAAGTAGAAAATTTTGGGATGTCATATTCACAAGTCATTGCTCCTATTTGTTTCTGAAAATGAGTTCAAGGAAAGTGTCCTATGATGCCTGATCAAAGCAGAAAGGTGAAAAAGTGCATGTGCCTACGTACCAATCATAGGACAAGGAGACGGATGGTACACCATTGAAGAAAGCCTCTCGAGCACCCCCTACTGTGCCTGAGTAAACCCTGCATGTCCAACAAGAAATTTATCAGGTAGAAAACACATTTAAGGACAAAGAGCCCTGGTATTTATTATGGAGAAAAAAATGGCTAGCAAACACATAAATGGCCATTAGAGTATTATCTAAAATGAGAGAATCAGCTATTTTAAGGTGGTGTTTAAAAGTATGAGACCCCAATGTTTGTAGTGTTTTAATTCAATATAACGCAAACACACTGAAAAGCTTATAACATCATATTGTAATCAAAGTTTAACAGGAACAAAAGTTGCCATTACATTTACCATACTTGGTTTCTGTTTCACATATTGGTTTAACTTACTGAAGGGAAGCATTTACTATCATTGGAGCTTAAGTTTGTTTTTGGCCAGGAAAATAAGTCAAGTACTCTAATAAAGTCACCAAAGTATTTTCGAGTAGTCATTTGCCCATAAAATACAGTGCAAAGACAGGTTAGATTGGAGAATGGCAACCAGAAATATCCTGAAAATATAAATCTCATAGTTCCAGTTGACAGGATTCATATTCAACATTATCCAAAAGACAAGAGAAGATTGTTGTACGAACACATGGTAACCGCAGTTGCTACCCATATTTATGCCACTGATAACCTGCAAAAAATGTTGAAGGCTAATGAGACCATACACAAGTATCTGACATAGAAAATCTTAGCAAAACTTCTAAAGCAAAGCTACAAAGACAGAGCATGTCACGGACAACTACACAAGTGCATGTAGCAGCTTGATGGAAGTTTTCAAGCAAGATAACAATTGAGTTAGCTCAAAGCAACTTCTATGTTGGCCAACCTTTATATCAACAGGAATAAATCATTACAGCGTTCAAGCAAGTACAACACTGAAACCATGCAGTTGATGTCCTAAGAATGAATTAGAATGGGAACAATCCATCCGAAAGAAGAATAAAGAAAGAATGGGTAAATCAAGCATCATAAAATTGGATGATAATAGAAGGTACAAGAGCCAGACAAAAAAATATAGACACGAATTTGCAGTGGAAGCTAGTATACTTACAAGATCAGGTATTGAAGGGAAGAGAACTTGAGAGATTCCTAAGGAAGTGCAGTCTGCTGGAGTTCCTGCAAAACAAAGGAATGGTGATGATATATTAGACTGCAAATCATGCCAATAGGTAACACCAAATCAGGGGTATCAGGTGGAAATGGCAGCATCAATTCCACCTATGGCGAAGTAAATTCCAAATTTTGCTTTATATGAATCAAGAAGACAACTGCCAAACTGAAGTCAAAGCAATACCCTCATTGCTAGTTAAGTTTTTTATGTATCCCTAACATCTTATAAACCACAGCATTTCAGTGAAATACATACCCAAGTAACATTCAGAAACTCAAGATAGCGACATCATAAAGTTATAATTCCTCTGCATTTGTCATGAATCAAGAGGAACTTTAGTCTTCATGTAAAAAATAATGATTCAGCTTAAAGAATACGAGAACCTACAGTCCTTTTTAATAGCAATGCTAAACCATGAGATTCTCATTTAAGTCCACTAGACATAAAAAGTTGAGCAACTTAATTAGCATTTTTTACATTATTTCGGGTGATTAACTTAGAAAAATGCGTTAAAAACACATATAATAGTGTCAACTACAACCCGAACAATAGGCATAGTGTAGTTTAGATATTTAATTGGACTTGCAACAAACCAGAAACAGCAAAAGCTGTAGCTCCACTAATTTCCACTTGCTTCGCTGAAACAGGGTTCCGCCAAGTAACGCTATGACTCACAGCTGACTTCTCACTGAAACAGCAGAAAGTAAGTTTAAGACATAGATTATCAGATTTAATTCAAAAGCTCTCTTTATCCTTATGAAAATGTCAACAAGTTGACTACATAATCCACCTCAGATTTCAACCTGATATATTCCTGAATAGTATGTTTGATTGCAGCCGCTTCCCAAAAATTAAGCTCTGCTCAGCAATAGTAAATTTTACCACTAACATTGCTCAAATTAGTCAGATTAGGCTCCCACATTTTAAACAGAGTACCATTCATTTTTTTTTTTTAACTTTCTTCTTTTCCTTCATTAGTTATAGTCTAAGCACTACTGCAACTCCAAATTCGAATAATAAAATAAACGCGTCCAGAACTTAAGCATATTGTCTCCACAAACAGATAAGTCTGACCCTTCTCATATATTTAAGTAACCGTGAAAAATTATGCCGCCTATCAACCAGTCAAAGCAGCTGTTTTTTGCTAGTCTAATCCTAAAACGACTTATTAACAGAACAGTAAGAAGCCTGTTAACTTCCCAAAAGAATTGCAGTACACTAAGTAGAGAAATCTTCACCAATTAATACTGGAATTGGAGATAAACTCACTAAGAAAAAAAGCGTCAAAAACTGAAGTTACGATATTGAGCTCAAATCCATGTAAAAATCAGCTCAAACATTCATGATCATAACTCGAAAAGAAATAGAAAGAAACATACGAATCGGGAGCGCAGACGAGGACGTGGAAGCGATTAGTGGAGACAAGGACGCGAACGAGAGCTCTCAATCCAGGTGCATCAATACCGTCGTCGTTCGTCACCATCACCGTCAGCCGATCGCCGGAAATGTCTCCGCTGCAATTCTCCATTGTCCGTTGAGTTTGGAGGAAACGATTAGCTAAAAATAAGCTGCGCAAATGCAACAATTTAAATATTGGTCGTTCAACGGGTGGGGCCCGCAACTTATTCGCAGCTGATAAACGACGGCGTTTGAACCACGCAGCTGGTATTTTCAGGTGCCGCTTTGGTGGGAGCTGGAATATGCTGCTGGCATAAAGGTCGCTGAATGGAAGGGATGCCGTCCCAGTGGCATTGACCATTGTTCCTCATAAAATAGATTCTCAATATAATTTCGGTTCTTAAGTTTCAATTATACAATTAATTTGTCTTGTAAACTTCAATTAATTTAGAAAGATTTATAATATTGATGTTTATTGCCCAAAAAAAGGAAAAAAAATAATAAATAGATGGTTGTTGTACCTTTTCAGATTGAGTGATTCATGTGACAGGCTTTTTTTTTTCTTTCTTTCTTTCTTTTTTTTAAAAAAAAAAAAAGAAAAAAAAATTGGAGCTCTCCTTTTTCCCCCTAACCATATTAGTATTAGATATTAAGGTGTCACGATCGTGTGGATTGAGGGGGTTGGAGCGAAAATTAAACGCCTAAAGCATTTTGGATTTTATTTTGTAAGACCAAGACTAAGGCCCAAGAATTGATGCCCAAAACAAGTAAAAAGAAGAAGACTAAGGCCTGAAAATTTTATCCTCTTTAAAAAAAAAAGATTGGATCTCTTACTCTAACGAAGTCAGCTTTCTTTTTCTTTTTTTTTTTTAAGCATAGGAAGTCAGCTTTCTGGATTGCAAATTAACGTTCGAATTTGAGCATCTTACGCAATATTAACCGATCAGTACAGACATTGCAATACAAACGGAAGGTCTTTAATAACTCACTACTTCATTTAAATTTTCATTGTTAAGAGGGATCCTGTGGCCGACGGGGAGGGTGATTGTGGCTGCACTGCTTGGCAACTTTTCTGCTGGACCTTTTTATTACCGCTTCCTCAGACAACCTCAAATGTAAGAATCTATCTATCTTTGGTAGATAATAGTGCTAAAATTTCGTTATATAATACTCTTTTTCAATTTTGATATTGTGGCATTGGCACAGTTCCTTTTTTTTTTTTTTGGCTTTTTAGGAACTGGTACCAAGCCGACAGGATGACTAGTTTGCTCGTGTTTGGTTGAAATTTGATTTTTGTGTATGTCGTTTCATCCCGATAAGTAAGTGGTGCACGGGTCATCAATTCACTTGTACAGGTACTGGAGTATGCATTCGTTAGGCTTGATTTGCGGGTGATTGATTACTTACGGAAACAAAAATGAATTAAGATATGATGCTTATAAAGAAGAAATAAGAAATAGTAAGATAATAAAGAATAGAATAGAGTATAGCACAAAAAATGAGATAAAAGATTCGTTACGAATTATCCATGAGCAAAATCCGGCGAGCCGTTTTGTTAGGGGCAGAGAACAAGACCCTGTAACAATTCAAGACTATCACGAAACATACCTTTTCAGATTTCAATACTATATATGTGGCAATCTTCAACAAGACAATCGTATACTACATAGGAATTAGAGGGCGGGACAAAATTAATTCCACAAGAACCGATAATGGGCTGTTGTCGGATGTATATCATTCTCCCTAAGTAACTTCAATATGTGTTGTAACCATTTGATAAGCAAACACTTCTAATTCTTTTGGACTTTGTAAACATACCCAATTTTATTTTATTACAGGGATCAATAATGATTTGAATATGTGACCTGTGGATACAAGCGAGACGCCTTACCGATGAATCTAAGTTTCGTTGTCAATCAATCAACCCATTTTTTATATCAACAAAATAGTAATTTTGACATTGTAACTTATACGTCAAATAACCAAATCTCCATCCTCCACGCACCACCTCTTTTTGTTTTGAGGAAGAAAAAAAATAGGCCCATGAAAGCGTTGTACTACTTAACATGTGATAGAAATATTAGTAATTGTTTACTTTCTTAAACAACAAGGCAATTCTTAATAATTGCAGAAGAGTTTGCTTAAATTACCCTAACTATGGATCAAATATCATGTGCATCTGTCTTTTTGCCATGGTCTCGAGTTAGCCAAGACTCGTGTACTTAAAAAGAGTATTTAGTCGTAGAATTTCCCTAACATTAATTATTATGCTAAGCTAGGCCTCTTGACTTTTGTGCGAATGGCCCTCAGCCTCAGGTTGTACAGTTGCTAGTGGACAATTTGGAGCTCAATGGTGACCATACGTCTGCGTCCTATCGCCCGAACCACACTTGATAATGGTTCCTGCTGTTAATAAATGGCTGCTTCTACCAGTACTGGTTTTAATTTTCTGCCATAAATTCGGACCCAATTCGTCCGATCGTTATTAATTCTAACCTTTGAATTTTGAGGCCCAGGACGGGACAAGCAAAAGTTAATGCCCGTGTTCGTCGTGCACGGCCAATTTATGTAAGGGCCGTCCAGAGTTTTATTGACGTTTTTCTTTATTTTTTTTCCCTTTTGTTTTTCTTGTTTTCACCTTCGTTGTTATTGGTCTACTGTCATATTGATAACTCAATTTCTTTAATATGTTGTATTCAAGCTGTTTGGATAGAGTATTATTTAAAATAATTACTGTAACACTTTTTGTGATGTGATGTATGTGAGATAAAAAATTGGATTGAAAAAGATGTTTATGATGCAAGTAAAATATTATTTGAAAAAATTTGATATCCAAACAAAGCAATTATAAAAACCCTGAATGGTAATTTCATAGACAGAGAGTACAAAAAAGTATAATGTGGTGGACGGGGTAGGTTTAAAAAAACTTGTACCTTTATATATTGGAGCTCAAATTCTGAAGATATTAATAAGGTGGTCCTGATCAAAACGGACTAAAATATTTTGACCAAACTTGTTCATATTTTGTTTCCGGGGCGTTATCAATTTTAGTCGATAATTCTAAAAGTGTTTGACAAAATTACTATCTTGTTAACATTATTATTGTTCGCAAAAGATAATTACCTCGCAAATGATTAGTAAAATTCTCATAGGAACAATAATAATTGCATAACAATTTCATTTTTTGATTGGTGTTAAAATAATCTATTTAATGTTCTCAAAAAATAATTACATTAACTTAGACTGCGAAGAAAAGTCTTTTTAACATTTTAATTTCTAGTAGGAGTTATATCCATTCAGCCAGATAAACATCAAATTTGGACTGATTTTCACCAGAAACCAAGTCCAAATTCCTACCAAACCCAAACTATACAAGGAAGAAAAAAGTTGCAAAATTAAAGTTACTAATAATAATAAGTACTACGTCGTTTGCAGACTCAATTTCCTAATCAAATACTACCAGAAACCAAGGCTTTGATTTGGGAGAGCTTAAGAAGACTCCAGAATTATCGAATGCTCAATTGTGTTAGGACAGAACAAGTACCAATAATTTAACATAAAGTACCACTACTATTAGCAGTGCCAATCAACAACTTGTATCCATCTTTCTTGACAAACACCAAAATCAAAAGATTGCCTTGAGATTTCCATCTTTTAGTACGAGTTCAATCTTCAATGCGACAATGCAGCAATTCATCTTATTTATTCAAAAGAAAGCTTTTGAGATTGTTTTGTGGAATTTCTTTTTCGGAATTGATTAAATTATTAGACTCGTCCGTCCATTAGAGCAACATGTTTTGAAAGTCGCATAATAAAACTTTCGACCGCTTTGATTGCGTAGTTTTCCGGTTAAGTACGACGTATTACGTAATATACCATTCATTGACAGCTAGTTTAATCATTTTTTACATCAAAACAAAACAAAACAACTTGTTCCAATGCTTAAGAGAAAACGACGGATCCGTATATATTCCGTCAAATTTGATGCGCACGAAGAAGTTTATTAGAATCTTTCAGCTCGCCAGCAGATGGTTCACTCCTTACTTTCTTTCTATCCTAATTTGTGTCAAATTTATGTTATTTCCAAGCAAGTCCAGTCCAATCAGTGAATTTCTTATCTTGATCGTGTATAATATGCATTCTTATCTCGTAATCTTGTTAAATTTAATAATTTTTCAAATCAAATATATCCTTGATATATTTATATTTACGTATTGTCTGTCATCAGTGTAGCTTTGTTCATCATGCAAATCGTATCGTATCATGCTGAACGATTTTCAACTAATTTATTAAAAATACTGACTTATGTTTTATCAAAATCTTAGACTCAAGTAACAAGCCAACGCCCTAAAAGTTCACTAATAGAATATTACAGCTAGGAGCCCATTATGTACAACAATTTGGGTGCCAATTGCATATATTCCATGTTCTTCCCACAAAACGAAAAAAAAAAAAAGAAGAGAAAAGTGAAAGAGTATTTGATAGTAGTATAAAGAATTCTAACCAGGCCAAATTTTTTCCTCCAATAAACGGTGTGAATTATGGATGTCCAAACTTTCCAAGAACAAGAGATATCCCTATGTGCATAATTATATCTAATTCCGGGCTGAGATCATATATGTAAGAAAATGATGGTAAGTACTTGAGATTTGACAAATCACGAAGGAGGGAATTGTGATCCTGGTCAGCTGTTGGACTATTTGCTTGTTTATTAATATCTTGCATTGCGGGATAGGTCCAGCCATGAACATAAAATTAGTTGGCCTGCGTGGTGCTTGATTGACTTAGCGAAAGGCACATTTCAGCTGGCTTTTTTTTTTTTTAACCAAAAACGTTAGAATTGTCCAAAGCTCCCATGCTGATAAATCGAAAGCAAAGCTTGAAAAATTCTATGTGGGTCAAGCATGATGTTAAGTCGTAGCCGTCTTAGCTTGCCTAGCCTATTACTGTAATCAAGACTAAATTTATTATTAAAATTTTTCTAACGAGCCTTCAGTAAGTACTTGCTAACATACTTAAATTGCATATAATATATCATGTAAATACACTTAATCACAATTATTAAATATTTTTCCAAATTAACTACGCTTTATTTTTAAGGTGCAACCGTAGGTAAACAAAAATACAGGCGAGACTATCGTAAATCTGGCCTCGTTTCTGGATGTTAACATATAGTTGACAACATTGGCTACAGTTTAGAATTAGTGACCAACTCTTAATCCCAACTTTGAGGCCCTACTTGGCTACTTTGGCACCAAATTTTAGAAAAATTGGAGAGATCTCTGTACAGCTGTATGAACCAAAGGCGAATGTAAGTCCTTCTAGAATGACTCGCAGAAAGAAGCCCAAACTCTTGCTAACTTCATCAAACGTGTAATTTAGAGCAAAAAGCGATGAAGAAAAATGTTCCACATGGAAACCCATGCAGCCCTGAGTGACTAGTTGATGTAACCCATGGACGGCCTAACTGGACTAGATGATGTAAGGGGGAAATAATGAGTAAATGGTACTCCTTAAAGTAAGTTAGAATGGGTTATCTTAATGTTATTGTTACGATAAAAAAAAAGTACTGATAGATATAGATCCAATTTATATAATTGCAGAATTTACCATGAATCTACTCATCTGATTTTCTATGCCTACCACTTAAAGAATGTAACACCTGAATCAGACTATTTGGCCAGATATTTTGAGATGAATCATCACCCCTCATTATCTTTTTTTTTTTTTTTTCGACGGAGTGGGGTGTCCGGGTCAAGTCCGTAAAGACGGCCCGACTAATCCCCACTCCGGCCCGGCCCAACGCCCCAACCAGACCTAGCACGTTAAATGCACGGCGAACTGATGTTGCTGCGGAGGTTCGACCCCAGGACCTAACGGTCCCGAGGAGGAGGCGCCAACCACCAGCCCATTCACGTGGGGGCATCACCCCTCATTATCGGAGACCATAGTTTTTTTTTTTTTTTTCCAAGACGGCATATCGGAGACCATAGATTGATAGTTTTATTTTTATTATTATTTTTTGTTGGGGGGATGCTTGATGTAGTCTGGTACTACTATAATACTTGTAGTAGAGGAGTAACTTCCTGTTGATCGATCAGGCAACTTATTTTAGGTTGAGGCTGGCTGTCAAACTCAATCCCATATCCTAAACTTATCCAATCAGATAGATTTCCAAGAAAGAAAACATCTTCTTTGAGTCAAAAGAAAAAAAAAGTTAATTAATGTTTTCCTTACAATTACATCCCAAGTCGCCATGTACGACAATCTGTACTACTGTCAAAGACCCACTTGTTCCACTGCCACACAATCTTAATTTAACCAAATTTATTAATCTGGGTTGGTCCCTGTTTGGTTCACTGTTGCAGGCCTTGTCCCATTTTCCCCCCCTCTAATATTTCTGGGCACACACCACATGTCTGCTTTGAAACATGGCACAAGTGTAAAGAGTAAAGACCAAAGCGACGGAGCGTGGTTTTACAGCTCGTGAATGAGATAAAGAAAAGAAGAAAGGGAGACCTGTTTTGTCATGACATGCCTGCCTGAATATGAGAGAGAGGAAATAGAGGGGGCAGAGTAGTCCATAGAATTGAGAAATCTTTGCCTTGGTTGTCTATGAGTTGGTGAGAAAAAGCTTGTCTTTTTTATTATGAACTCACCTATGCCTGTTAAAGTATATTTCTTGGTGCTATTTAGTAAACTTTTGTACCGCAACATATAATTTGCTAGTACAGCTAGATTTCATCTTTATATTTGGAGGGGTTCAAGTAATATAACCCTTTTTGCTCCCTCCGTTTCTCTAATACAAGGAACAAGCTAGAGCCCAGGAGATAACAGTTGGTCCAAGAGTCTTTCTTTATTGTCTAAATATAGATAATAGGAATGAATGCTGTGATTGACCTTTATGCTGATCATCCGGATTTTGTTGAAGTTGATCCTACCGGAAGATATGGAAGGGTATGGCTCATGTCTATCCACAATCTTTGCTTTTTACTTTATATCGTTGGTTTTTTTTTTCTCAAACAATTTTTTGTACCTTCCAATTTTTTGTATAATATATGTTTTGGTTTCATGTGTTGAAAATTTTCGTTCTTCTTTGTTTTCTGGTTAATTGCAGTATAATGAGATTCTTGGGAAGGGAGCTTCAAAGACAGTGTATGCACCTTTTTCCTGTATTCATTTCTGTGAAAATTTTGGTCCTTCTGCTACTCTGTGACTTGTATCGACTGTTTGGATTGCAGTGCTGTCTTTTGTAGCATTTACTGGTTCTTTAATTTTGGTCTGCTTACGTTCATTCTTATTCGTGGGTTTTCTTTCTTTTTTTTTTCTTTTTTCCCTTCAGTTATAGAGCATTTGATGAGTACGAAGGGATTGAAGTAGCTTGGAACCAGGTGAAACTTAACGACTTCTTGCAAAGTCCTGATGATCTTGAGAGATTGTATTGTGAAATTCATCTGCTGAAAACTTTGAAACACAAGAATATTATGAAATTTTGTGCCTCTTGGGTTGATACTGCAAATAGGAACATCAACTTTGTGACAGAGATGTTTACGTCTGGAACTCTGAGGCAGTAAGTAATACTGGAGCTTCATGCTTGTCTAATTTTCAGTTTTCAGAGAGATAAATTTGTCAGTATGAGCTAGTTTGGAATTTATTGTTCTTATATGGATTCATTCTGTTCTGAATTGCCCTGATAGGTATAGGATGAAACATAAGAGGGTTAACATTAGAGCAATAAAGAATTGGTGCAGGCAAATCTTGAAAGGCCTTCTTTACCTTCACAGCCATGACCCTCCTGTTATCCACAGAGATCTGAAGTGCGACAACATTTTTGTAAATGGCAACCAAGGGGAGGTCAAGATTGGTGATCTTGGCCTCGCTGCATTTCTGCGCAAATCCCATGCTGCTCGGTGTGTTGGTAAGTTGGGAGATTTGAAGCTTTGTGGTCTCATGTCTATCACCTAAAAGTTAGCCTCTCTGTAGAATAATCATGCGGTCAAGTTCTCCATGTAACCTTAAATTCATCAGTATGATTCCAAACTAGTTATGTGGATTGATTTTCTTGCAGTTGTATATACTTTTATTTACCTAGACTGCTGCTTTCCTCCAGGAACACCAGAGTTCATGGCTCCTGAGGTGTACGCGGAGGAGTACAATGAATTAGTGGACATCTATGCATTTGGGATGTGCATTTTGGAAATGGTTACCTTTGAATATCCATATAGTGAATGCACACATCCTGCTCAGATCTACAAAAAAGTGATCTCTGTAAGAATTCATTGATCTCAATTTTTATCTGCTGCATCTGAAACATGCATTGCAACTCTGGTTTTGATATGTTTGTAATTCTGCATTAAGGGTAAAAAACCAAATGCTCTTTATAAGGTGAAGGATCCTGAGGTGCGTCGATTTGTTGAGAAATGCTTAGCAACAGTGTCTGATAGGCTATCTGCTAGAGAGCTTCTCCATGACCCTTTCCTGCAAAGTGATGATTATTTAACTGACCTTGGACCAGTAGATGACTACAGAGATTTCAATGATGTTGGCCCAATGTTACAAGAGCCACTCTTGAGCTTTAGTCAAAAAAGCAGTTCCTTGATAGATAGTTACACCATTTATTTTGATCAGGAGCATAGAAATGGCTTGGAATACCATCAAAATGGGTATGAAACAAATGGAATTGATCTATTGAACAGTCAGGAGGAGTCCTTGGGAAGTGTGGACATAACAATCAACGGAAAGAGAAGAGAAGATGATGGAATCTTCCTAAGACTGAGAATTGCAGATGAAGAAGGTCTACAAACATTTGTTTTTACTTAATTGTTTGGATCTGTTGTTACTTTCTTTCTTTTCAACTGGAGATTAAGTAACACGTATGCTGATTTTGCAGGCCGTGTGCGAAATATATACTTTCCTTTTGACATCGAGACCGACACAGCTCTCTGTGTGGCTGCAGAAATGATTGCTGAATTAGATCTCACTGACCAAGATATGAGTAAGATAGCAGAAATGATTGATGGTGAGATAGCTTGCTTAGTGCCTGAGTGGAAGAGGAGGCTTTACAATGAAGAGATCCCCAATTACTCAAATGGTAGATGTTGCCAAAATTGTGCTTCAAATGGTTCTCTTCTCAGTTATTTAACATTAAATGGATCTGGTGCCAAGAATTTGCAAGTTCTCTGTCCTCAGCATGGATGTGGTTCCATACATGGGAGATTCGAAGAGATCACTTACCAGTTTGAAGGGTCTGAACAATGTTTAACAGAAAGCGCACCTTTGGTTTCAAGTCAATCTGACATTATACATTATACTGATATATGGGCACAGCATGAAGGGCCCGAACTAAGATCACAAAATTCCAGTAGGAACCAATGTGATGATCATCTTGAACCGTCTCAGCAATCCACCTTTAGCAGCGACGAGAAAATTATAAAGATCATTGAGGAGGATAGGTATAATGCTCCCGAGACAAGAGATTGCCCTACTTCACCTGGTCACTCGGAAGCTGCAGATTACGAAAATGAGATAAGGCAGGAGTTAAGGTGGCTAAAAGCCAAGTACCAAATGCAGTTGAGGGAACTGGGGGTTGTATCAACTGGGATTGTGACGAAACCGTCATCTCTGCTAGATAGCATTCAAAGCAAAAAGGATCTTTTGTCATCAGTCCTTTCCACACCAAGGGAAGTGCAGGATGGTAGTCTACATCAATCTCTCATCTCTGATAAGCATTTCCCTCCCTATCTGCCTGTTTATACCGGAAAGAAATGTGCAAACCAGATGCTGCGGGATCAGGAGTTGGCCTATAGTTCTTGCAGTCCGGAACATATGATCACTGCCAAGAGTTACTACACTGGGGCCTTACTTCCACACCCACTTCACAGGGCCACTTCTCTTCCCGTGGATGCCATTGATGTCTAACACTAACCAAACACTGGGTGATTCCTGGTATTCCAACAAAGCAATGTGACCACTTATCACAGAACATTACATTTTCGCGGCTTGTAAAATCCCAGTTCCAAGAGAAATACTTCCACCAAGGTTGACACTAATGTATGCATGTACATTCCCACTTACCAATACATTATGTATGTATATACATTCCCACTTTCCAATGCAAATCTGTTCTGGGGTTGAGGCAGTTTTACGTGGCAGTTTGAGGTCCTGCAAAAGATTGTCAGCACAACATGAAACTTTGAGCAACTTGCATTTTGTTCCTTTGTGAGGACCATCCCTAAATTCCTTCCTTTGAATCTTTGATATCTGAACGTAAGGATCAAGCTGCATGCAGCCTAGTGCCTTATTCTGACCAATTGTGGCATATGATGCGAAATGAATAGCGTAAAATGTGGTCCAACATCCAAACCATTTGCCTTAAGCTATTGAAGTATGGCTTGATCAATATACTTTCATATGGTCCAAGCTACGGTAGATTGTAGTCATGATTCATGAAAATCTGAACAGTCAAGTTGCCCTAACTTCTGGTGAAGGGCCATTTTAATTTTGAATGAAGTTTGTCTTGACAAAACTAATTTGTGAACGACGGATTTTCATTGACCCTGAAGGCAAAACCATTAAGAGTGCTAACAAGAAAAGTCAGCAGCACCAAAAGCACTTCAATAGTTAACTGAATGATTACCACGAAATTGGTTCTTCCACCAAAAAAAGTTGCTGATCAATTGCTACAATATTCTTGCCCAAAGCCATGTTTAGGAATATGTCAATTTCTAACTCAAAAAACTTTTTGTTTGTGTTGTAAGGCTGAGAGAGGAGAGATTCCAATTTCTGTGATTGTCCTACATTGTTGCTTTCTTGATTCACAACCAACAGTAAGAATGTGATCATTAGGTATACTTTTTTTCTTTTCTTTAGTTTCCTGGAAACATTGTATTAGCAACATAGCATTCAGAGCCGTGAAGGGTGAAAGAGGACATCAAAAGTGGCAAGTATGATAATGAAAGGTAGATGGATTCCTTTATTGCTTTGCATCAAAAGGTGTTTGGGGGCAGATCAACCTTCCCTTGTTGAATTCGGCACCAGAAAACATGATACGAGAAAAAGCATCCTGCACCAAGTACAATCACTAATCCTGACACCTTCAAATCCATTCCTCTTCTTGGCCAATTGGGCTTCTTCTAAACTATAGTGGGTGCTTATCATTCCTAACACTAGCATTTAACAATGGCTTTAGGTACATTTTTAACTTAGATTAAAGACAGAATCAAACGTTGAGAATTGATTTTCATTATGACAAATGCTACCATTTATGCAAACAGAAAAACAATAAAATGCTACCATGCATGTCTTGCTTCCCATCATGATTGAAACAGTAACAAAATACTAATTCCTCTCCAGGTAAAACACTCAGCCGACTGTTATAGAAGTATCACGTTTCTGGAGATGATGATGTACAAATGAATAGTATGAATATATACATCATGTTTGTGAAATATACATTAATTGTCTAAATAGGTTAACCAAAAAAAAAAAAAGAGAAAATTTTTGTCAAAAAAAAAAAAGAAAAAGAAAATTGTCTTGAATAGTTTTTAGGGGCCATTCTTGGCAGCCCAGATGAAAGTCTGCAAGAGGCCCAGTTTACCGCTTAACGAATCGAAACTAATTCCTATCTTCCTTACCATTACACTTTTTTTAATTCCGGTTAAAATAGAATTCAATGTTATTAATAAATTAATTAAAAATTGTCCGACACGATTTGTTCAATAAAAAAAGATGCATTACTAATAAAAAATACATAAAATACGTCACAGTCTGACAGATATGTCTAATCTGAAAAATCATTAGATTTAACAGAAGTATAAATTACACTATCTGCATTCCATTCTCGATCAATTTAGCTGGCGAATTTTCCACAAAGTGTTGAAGAGTTGGATCAGTCCCTCCCCACGGTGAATTCTAGGCTGAGTAACGGGAAGTGAGCCTGGCCCATTCTTGTACTCTTTTTGGACGTTGGTTTAAGCCCCACCCGACCCACATTATTGATCCTGCGGACTCCATAGCACCAGCACATTCTTTTTTTTTTTTTTTTTTCAAATAAAAAGAAAAAAAAGAAAAGGGCAACGTTATAACTAGTGAAACTTGAATTTATAAAACGCAATTGCTTGCAAAGCTTCTTCATTATTACCTCTCGTTCTCTGATTTCTATTGACCTCATATATTCCAATGCCTCCTTCATGCTCTGATTGTCCTCTATGACCGGAAGTTTAAGGGATCCTTGAAGAGCCAGAAGGATAGTTACCTGAAGAATGAAGGTATACGCAAAGAGATAAAGCAACAATTCGCAGAGCAGTTGCTTTCTTGTATAAAATGAATCATGCTTTAGCTAGAAACAAATTAAAATATTTAGGAAGATTTTCTTGTTTTTTCAAGAAAGTATGCTTCCCAATTGACTTGAGGTCACAAAAAATAAGGAACTTTGATTGATGCAAGGGAATTGAGTAAATTGGAAGAGCCTTCACAATGGACAAATTCAAGAAAAAAAAAACGTTTTAGGGTGAACGTGCACCACAATAAATTTTTGGCCAAGATCTTCAAACTCTGCAGGAACGACAGGAACTTGATATTTGGCATTATTGACATTGACGACAGATTCAAAATCAACTTTTGTTCTTTCTCGAATTGAAAGTTCTTGGAAACGATTTTCCGCATCGGCATCGACAAACTTTTGGTCCACCTGCAAGATTAACAGTTTAATAAGCCAGACGGGCACTCTTTACAAATTCCTAAATAAAATATCCTTTCAACTGATTTATATGCTGTTGATTGTACCAATTCATCCATAATATTTGCTCTCTTGTTTTTTTTTTTTTTTCAAGTACTTACATACGAGAAACCATACTTCCAATAGTCAGCACCAAAGAGAAGTGCCCTTGTTGTCTCTGCAGCCAAAGATAGACATGAAGTTGTAAGCAGGATAATTCCTTTATAACAGTTAAGGTACTCTTCTTAGCGAATAAACAGCATTCATCTCTGTGGATGAAATTGGGTGGAAATTACGTTGGTCAGTTGCAAATGCCAGAAGATCGGAGCTAGGGAGTTGAAAATAATACCTCGCAGTATAGTATTCAAGCCGGCCAAGGTACTTGTGTTCGTGGAGGCGGCAATACTTTGGAGATTCTTTTGCAGATTACTGGCTTCTCCAGATAATCCAATCTATTAAACAGAATTAGCAACCTTAGAATTCAGAATTCTCTTTATCTTTTTTTTTTTTTTTTTGGCCTTGAAGAACTCTCACAAATAACACAAAACCTTTTAAGAAGTAAATTGGATAAGCAATAAGAATCGTTTAAATAAATCTGAAGCATGAGAATGCTGTTTCGCCGTTGGTCTGTTTCAATGTAGAGAAACAGCAGACCAAACACTACTATTATCACGATTATAATCAACTTTGGCTGCAGAGGCAACAAGGACACTTCTCTTTGGCTGCTGACTATTGGAAGTATGGTTTCTCGTACGTAAGTACTTGAAAACCACATCGCCACCCTGATTATCATTCCCAGATATGGCAGACGCATTCCGGCTGGTCCCATAATAATCGTTAGTGATATCATAACTGTAATAACCAGAACCTCCACTTGATGAAGATGAAGAATCAATACTGCCACCCATAGCTCCACCTCATTGTGCTAATATTGAAGTAATACTAATAATCTCCTGTCCCAACAATAATGCCAAGGATATTATCATGGCACTAACAAAAAGTTTTTTTCTGGTACGCCAAGGAGTTTACGATGATTAATCTAGTAATCGCGTGTTCCCACCCTACCAGTTTGCTTCCCGGGTTTTCAAAATTAATCTAGTAATCGCGTTACATTGATAGTGTTTCTTTTTTTTTTTTTCGGGATAATTTCATAAACCTCTTAGTACATTTGACACTTTTGATAACCAAATTTTACATTGGGTCAAAAATTTAAATGAACACCTAAAATGCTCTCAATTTACAAAGTTTTTATTACTTTCATAAACAATTGTGAGATTTATAGCAAAAATATAAAGAGCAAGCATCAAGTTTTCAATATCTAAATTTATTATTTAATAAGCAATTATTACAGTAGTTTTATCACTATGATAGGCTATTGTACATGGTGTTTTACTTGTGATACATATTCCTTCTAAGTCGGACAAGAAAGTATTGTCATAATTCTTTTGTCCTATGTTTGGATTGAGGGATTTGATTAAAGATTTAAAATCCTTTCAAATTCCTCTAACTGCTTATATTATTTAGAAGACATTTAGATTTGTAAATTGCTAACTATTCTAGTGTCTAAAATGTATTTAAATAATTGGTGAATTACAATTCCAAATGTTTTTTAAACAATCTAAACAGCTAAAGCAATTTGTGTGGATTTCAAATCCTTTGTCAAATTTTTCAATCCAAATGAATCTTGAGTTTGTGGATTTTTAATTTGTTGAAACTATCATAGTTTAGTAGCAGTTTTAAACGGTTTCTTTTCAAGTTATTATTGCTTTTGATACAAAGAAAAAAAAAGAACGAAAAAAAACATTGGATCACATTCAAAGTTGTCAAAAAAAAAGAAAAAAGATCACAACTTCAACATCCGGTAACGATAGCGACTAGAGTAAGTACTTATAGTCTATAGTTCTTTAGTTTTACCTGCAAAATATGAAAAAAGAGGAAAAGAATAGAAAAGGAAAAGAAAAAATTATGATAATTCTCATTCTTTCAGTATGTAAACCCAACAAGGGAGTTTTAAAATAGTAAATTTAATGTTGTCATTTTAGTTGGACAAGGGAGGTAGGTGTAATTTTTAAAATTTTGAAAGAGCTTAGTACAATTGCTAGAAACCTCAGGAGAGGTTTCTAAAATTATCTCCCCATTCATCAACAAAAATTCCGTAAAACCGATGGCCAGATTGTATATGAGTGTTGAAAACTTGATATGTCGTGAAGCAGCCCAAATCTCATCTAATTAATGATCAGGATTCTAGTGGATAAACTTGTAACACAAATAGATATTATGGAAGGAATCAAAGAGAAGGTGCATTATGACTATGTACCTCGTTTTGTGTAATTGTGATTGAGCACAAATATTGCAATGCCTTTTTCATGCAGTCAGAGTCTTTTATGGCAGGAAGTTTTAAAGAAACAAAACACCGTGCTTGAAGCTTCAGAAGGATTGCCACCTACAAAATGGCAACTAGATTAGTTACGAGTACTAATGAATTACTTTTCTTTTCATAAATTCATATCTTGGGATCATTTTATTGCAATTTTACTAGGCTAAATATATATATGTACCACAATGAAACTCTTCTGAAGATCTTCACCTTTGGGACGACTGCAAGAGCTTAAATTGAGGATGCAAGGTCAAAATGATACGTCGACCAAAAATTTAACATAAATGCCAAAAATAGAAAAGTTACCCACAAAAACAATTACTATAGAGTTCGAGGGACAAAACAAAACCTCTTAGTATCCTATTCAAACCATCCAAGCTGTCTGCGTTTGTCTGTCGTAATTAAGAGCAATGTTTCGAAGATTTCTTTGCAGGGTATTAGCGATCTCTCTTGATAATCCAATCTATTAAAACAACCAACAAACAGTTAATAAACAACACTCACCATAATTTCTTTAACAACACTCACAAGAAGTGGCCGTGATTGCCATAATATTGAGCATCACATGTAAATTGTTTCCTTAGTTTTTACAATTAGGTAGGATGGATTTTATACTTTAGAGTCGGGACACAAAAAAAAAAAAAAAAGTATTCAAAATGAATGGATAAAAAGACAAAGTGTTCAAAATGAAGTTTAAGGACTAACATGAAAAAAATCTGTAAATTAAGGGTTCAAAATGAAATTTAGTCCTTTTTATTTTGTGGCTTTTCATATGGAATTTAATTGGTGAAATAAATTTGAATACTCATTGCATATAACTCTTGAGCTTTATGTTTTAATTGGATTTGTTTCTCTACAAATTTTCAGATTTTTTTTTTTTTTGATTGGTGTTGTAGTTGTAGTAATAAAGCAAAATATAATTGCTTTTGAAGGAGGGTATGTGTAGGTTGTGTTTCGTTACTAGTCACGACTCACAAGATGAGAAGTGTAAAGAAATTCCAACAAGATGAGAAGTGTGGGAATTTTCTGTTTATCCAAATGATTGTGGGTTTTCTATTCTCTCTAAATTGGGAAAATCAAATTGGTAAGTTCTCTAAAATATCAATATATAGATTCAAAAATTGGACCCGATCGCTATAACAATTTTACAATTACCACATTTCCTACGAAAGAAATAAGCACTCTTGTGTAACAAGTGACATGCAACCCACATCTTATCCTATATTTTCTCCTTTACCCCATCAATAATACTTGTTAAGAAGTCAGGTTTGGATAAAAGAATGAAAAGAAAAAGATATTTCTTTTGTGACTCAAAGCACTCAAATCAATCAAGTTATATAGTAATAGAATACTCAAAAATCAAATCAAATAAACGTTTCATTTTGCATGGTTATACAGTAATTTTGCATGGTTATTTCGAAACCTTTCTTGATCTATCGATACTAATAGCTTCGATAGGGAAGGTGCATGCGGGAAGACAAGAGGATCTTTCTTGTACTAGTGTAGTAAAAGTGGCAGGTAAAAGTGTGGAAAATTTCTTGACACTCTCTTTCTTCTTCTTTCATCTTGATTACAACATAAAACCTAATCACATTGTCAAAATTATATATATCATGGATGTATAAAAAATTAAAGGGCAAATTACACTTTATCCCTCTTTGTTTAGTATTATTTTACATAACTTCTTATGATTTCAAAAGCTATACATAATCCCATCATGATTTGAATTAAAGTGTCAAAGTGACGGAATTTACAATCCATAACAGAGTCAACTAAATGCCCTTATGTAAAGTTGAAAATTATTTATTAACTACAAGAAATTATGTATATATATTGAAAATCATAAATGGATTATATGGTAAAGTACTAAACCATAAGGGGTTATATAACAAAATATAAAATCATATGAGATTAGCATGTCATACATATTATATTTATATATTTTAGCCACTTCAACCATTTTAATTTTTAAATAAGGGTAATTTTGATATTTTTATAGGTTTCGTTATAGATGATTATTTTCGTCACTTTGACACTTTAATCCAAAATATGAGGGGGTTATATATAGCTTTTAAAACTATAGGGAGATTATGTAAAAATTAGCTATACCATAGGGGGTAAAGTGTAATTTGCCAAAATTAATGCTTGTGTAAAAATAGAAGTATAATCATCTTCAACACGAGCAGAAAAAAATTCAGTAAGACGACGCAAAGAATATTTTGTTCCATATAGAACTTTTTAAATATGTAATCGAGTTAAGATATACCATGGTGTTATCTTTTGCTCGCATCTTTTTCTAAAGAAAGTTTCGTTTTAAGAGTCATTTGAGTGAAAAATTCCCTTTTGAAACGACGTTAAATTGATGATTGTCTTTTTCCCTGGTTGACTGATCAATGGAGATACAATTGCATGTCCCGCATCTATTTATCTTGATCATGTGTGAAGGATTTCTGCGAACGTTCAATACATCGTCAATAGGCCTTAACAAGGGGTACTTCTCCTTCATCTGCTTCTCTGACATTGGCTCATTTTCATCCTGAGGACTCCATATAACCTGCACACCCCACAGAATTCCAAAGCATGGTTATGATGGTCTGTGTAACTTTAGACAAGATGCAAAAGTTTAGTCGAAATTACCTCATTTTCTTCAAGTCTGAGTGAGCGCAAAAATTGCAATGCTTTTCTTATGCTTTTAAGAGTCTTCTGCAGGCCATGACCTGTGCGACCCCTGAGTTGCCAGAATCAATGTTACCTTGGGAATGAATGGACATGTGCAAAAGGTCGATCAATGCCGATAAATTGACGAGTTGCAAATAGCTCAATTTCTTGGTAAAAAATTCAGTTAACAGGAAAAAAAAAAAGAAGAAAATTCAAGGACATATTAAGCAATTGGCTCTAGCTACTGGCAAACTTATTCTTAAGCTCACGGAATTAATATATTGTAGATAACAAACATTAGCTGAAGCATGAGAACGGTCTTTCTCTTCATATTGTCGTGTGTTGCAAGAACAAAGACCAAGGAACACAACACAAAGAAGAGAAGGAAAGTCATGGCTACAACCAATCTTTTCTTGAAAAGCTTGAGGGAGGCCATGATGAATCTGGAGGTTTTGCTTTTGTTGCAAGAAAGAATATGGATGGGAACGCAAGCACTCAGGGAACTTTTCAAGCTTTGCTTTGACAGAAGAAACCAAATTGATATATAGGGGAAGCTAGTTTGAAGGAAAATTTCACTTTTTCACAATTTACGTAGTCTGAAATAATGAAAGTTTTGATAGACGAAATAGTTAAGATTATACGTTTTGAAGTAATCAGTAACTTAACTAGGTATGAAGATGAAAACCCTCCAGGCTCTAGTCTATATATCAAGGGGTATGATTTGAGATTTGCAAACTATCCCAAAGGGTGAATTATAGTACAAAATTTGTGTTCCACCCCAAATTTTTGCATTGTTTGAGCTTGAAATCAAGTAGTTCATTGGTAAATTGAATCATTATTCTTGGTTGCATGCAACAACAACAATAATAATCC